GCGCAGGGCGCGTGTCCAAGTTCCGCCACCTGAAGGGCACGCCGCTGCACAAGTCGACGCACATCGAGAACGTGCGCAACGTGAGCCGGCAGGTGAGCGGCGAGTGCGACGGCTTCCGCGCCAACGCGGCGCGCGCCGCGCTGCCGCTGGCCGGCGCCGGCGGCAAGGTGGCCGTGCTGGAGCTGGCGCGGCCCGGCCGCCTGCCCGACGGCGTCACGCCCGCGCTCGTGCACGGCGCCGCCGTCATGGACTTCGCCTGGGACCCCTTCGACCACGCGCGCCTCGCCGTCGGTGAGTGTCCACGGCAGCGCGGGCAACTACAGGGTGGCCTCTTCCCGGGAAATCGGGGAATTGCATTGCTCTGGAAAAGTGTGGGAAAAATCAGGCAATTTGTAGAAGAATCGTTAAAAGTAAGGGAATATTTGAGAGGTTTATAAAACTTACACTATTACTTGACAACGGTACAGACTTATTTTTTGGTAAATTTTTATTTGTGTTTATTGCCAAAATGTACTTTGTCTCAGTCAAATAAGAGAACTAGTCAGTTAATATAAGAGCAGCTTCGATATTCTCAAGAAATTCAAGTAGTATGAAATTACAAATCTTACGACAGAAAAAAATTAAAATGCAATAAACAGCCGGGGAAAGTCAGGGAATTGTTCCAGGAAATGATTGGTCATCCTGCTGCATTTTGTCAAGGATTGTGCATTTGGAGACACTTTGGAGAAATAAACGAATTATTATTATTATTATTATTATTATTATTATTATTATTATTATTATTATTATTATTATTTTACAAAAAAGGAAAGTAACAGATACTATGAACTAATCATTCAATTAAATTGGTGCTTTGCTTGGGGAAAGGCTATTAATTAATCTGCGGAATTATTAAAAATGTGTGACGATTGCATAATCAGCGTAGTATATTTACCCATAAACATCTGTTGCTATGAAACTACATTTCTTTGCATATCTTTTGAAAGACAGAGTAAAGTAACTTGCCCAAATGACACATCACCCTGCATCAATTGTAAGTTGCTCTTAGTAGTTGTGTTAATCATTTGAAGAAGCATTAGTTGTTTGTTAGTGACCGGCGGGCAATTTTCGCCGATGGTACGGGTATTCTTGCAGATGTCACTGTTCCACGAGTTTTCTCTAAGCCGAATGTGCAGAACAGGGATTCCCAGCGGTGTCAGCTTCGACCCCATGGGGCTTGATGAAATTTTCAAGGGGATCACTCGTGGTCAAGGGGTACATGGCCGCCAATCAGTACTCCATTGAATACAAAAAATGTTAATGACCTTCATAATTGTTTTAGTGCAAGCAACAAAACATAATCATAGATGAAAAATTCGCTCATCTTCTTTCGTATGTCTTACGACCTTAGAAGTTAGGATCTATAAAACAACTCAAGAGGTTATAACTGCACGATACTTTATGACTCAAGAATATATTCTTCGCAACATGCACAGGAGAAATGGCGTGCCCTGTTCTTTAAAAAAATTAAAAAAACACTCAGCATTTTGTATCCATTACACTACAATGAACATTACAAAGTCAGCTATTTAGAAGCGGATGCACCTTTGATGATTGAAAATCAAGATATTTACAAGAATATTGGTGTAGAAAATTATTATATTAAATGCATTTTATGTAATTATTTGATTTATGATTAGGGATGCTGTAGATTAGAGTATGTATGAGTGTAAAAAAAGGCTAGACCATATTGGGAAGCCATATTTTGTGGTCTCTCCCTTCTCACATCAAATAAAAGATTCGTTTCCTGATAATAATAATAATAATAATAATAATAATAATAATAATAATAATAATAATAATAATAATATAATTTGTTCATCCTAAATATATCGCGAAACTCACGGAAATTGGTTGGTTACAAAGCTTGGTTCCTATATTTAACTACTATGACCGTAAGGAAGGCAAACAATATGGTACGTTCCCATTAGAAGCTGCGAAAGAAACATAGAAGTAGACCATAACCAAGTTAAAAGTTGAATATGAGACTCTGGTGCAACATGCACATTTAATGGGCTAAAGTGTATCTTTCACGACTATACAGGTGATTATGCTGATGAAGGTGAAGTTGCTATAACCCTTCTTTCAATGCTGTGCGCCCTTATTGACGAAGTCGTTGTAATCCACTCCACTTTAAGTTCAACTTGTGTTCACTCACGGAACAGAGGCTTCACAACGGAGAATTAACGTTTAATTAATATCCACTTTCCATGACCCATAAGCATCTTCCATACATACAAAATTGAAAAATTTTGCATTTTTTCACGTAGAAGTCATGTGCTATTTTCACTTTGCCTCGTGCACTTTTTGTGCTTCTCTACAATCCTTGGGGAAATGGAGTATTAGGAAAAATCATGAGTGATTGAGAATGTTTTTAATAGTTTTGAATCAGTTCGTTGCTGGAAACTTCTCATCGACGCTTAGGGATTAGTTGCTACTGACGCACTACGCGTCTGTCCGTCTATCGCCTTTAACTATTTTTCACGCGTTGCGCGATATTGATTCGAACTGTCAGCTCTTGGGAGGCCATATTTTGTCGGCTATCCTTTCTCATATCAAATCAAAATTCGTTTCCTGCGAGTAATAAAATAATTTATTATACCTAAATTTGTAATGATACTCCTGGAAATTTGATTACTAAGCTTGGTTCTAATATTTAACTACACTTCGTGTGAAGAAGTATTCTGTGTATTTAATCTGTTTACAATGGGACCACATAATTAGTTATTTCAAGTCCATTGTTGCGTGTCTTCAGTATTAAAAGAGAAAGTCTGGTTAGTGCGAAAACGCCTTTGGCGAACAAACCAATGACAGGGTTTTTGCATGTAATAGAAATTTGAAAGAGTAAAATAATAATGGTGATATATCACTCTCGTTTTACATAATACACCTCACAATGTCTATTGTATTAATAATACTCCTCCACAGCTTGAATTTCGCTTTTAACACAAGTTAATTTTTCATTAAAATGTCAATTTACATATTTCATTGAAGTCCAACCGACGGCAGGTATTCGGCAAAAATAGACTAGTAGATAAAAAGATTTACATTATTCCCGAATTTCTCGTAATCTCATAAGCCCAGTATAATTCTCTACGATGGATTTGATGAAGTATCGTACCTAAAACTTTAAATTAAAAAAGCTGCTTAGCAGACGACGATACTGGGGAAAAACGAGTAAATTCGTCTACACCGTAATGAGGTTTTCATGTAAAATACTCTTACTCTTAACTGCACGAAGAATCAAAGAGGCACACATTGAGCATCAAGAAGTTCTTAGAGATGTTACAATCTCATTATTCTTTTGATTGTTCTATCATGCTTTTACTTTTTTATTATTTTTGTTCACCATTACAATACAAGCTACTTTCTGCGTTATCGAGAAATATTTGCGTTATATAGTGCAAAACCTCACCTTTTTTTCTTTTGTTGTATTTATATTTCATACATATTCACACAGACAAGTGCACCCCAGTAGTATGAGCAGCTGATATAGGGATACCATTAATAAAATGTACTGAGTATATTAAAACGAAGGGTTTAATCAGGTTAAAGTTGGCTTAATGAGGTGTGCTGAGCGCGTTTGTGGGCGGGGCGCCCGCCCACTGACGGGGCCGCGTGTGCGCAGCGTGCGACGACGGCGCCATCCGGCTGTGGCGCGTGCCGCCGGGCGGGCTGGCGGCGCCCACCAACGAGCCGGAGACGACGCTGGTGGCGTCGGCCGACAAGCTGCTGTGCCTCGCGTGGCACCCGCTGGCGGCCGACGTGCTGGCCGTGGCGGCGTTCGACGCGACGGTGCGCGTGTGGGACCTGGCGGCGGGCGCCGAGCGCGTGTCGCTCACCGGCCACGGCGACCAGGTGCGCCCCGCCACCGCCCCCCTTCACGGCGACCATGCTCCTTGCACCAGACTGTATCCAAGACTCGTCTAACCCTTGATTGCGATCACGCCCTCGCAATTATCTTTTCCCGTGGCTTCGACCACGCCCTCGTCTGCGCCCGTGGCTTCGACCAAGACCTCCTTTTCCTCTTTCTTTTTTCCTCCTTTCTTTTTGTCCTCTCCTTTCTTTTTTCCTCGCGTTCGACTTTTGAAGTGCTCCCACAAACGGCCTTATCTTTGTTGTTGGATTTGACTTTGCCGTCGACCTCGTGGTTGCCCATTCCCAAGCCCTTTGTCTCGTTGCTTCTGTACCCTGTCTGTGCGCTTAACCTCATACAATATCCACTCAGAGTTATTTTGGCTTCTCCTTTTCCTCTGATTACCTTGCCTTCCCCCGCTGTCAGTGACCTATGCATCGTCTTTTCTTTGACCCCAACGCGTAGTCCGTACCTCTTCCTTCGGCCTTATTCTTATTTGGATCTCCGATCCCAACACAATTTGATCCAGGTTCTCCTTTTCCTCCATCTTTCACACTCTTAACTTCCTCCATCTTGCTATTTGCGAGTTTGTTGTTACTCCCGTTCTTCTTTACTGTCACTCCATCCTCTTTCAGTTATCATTCCAACCTCTGCCTCTTCTTCATCACATTTGTGCACTTTCTTTTGCGTGTATCCTCGCTCCAATCTCTTCTGTCCTCTCTACATTTCTTGCTCTTTGGCTCCCTTCTCTACCTCAACCAAAAGATTTGAGACCCAATTTCGACATGCCCTCAAGTTACAATCGCACCACAATTACAAAATCGATACATATAAACAACAAACCATTGTCTACATTGTTGTTGTAAAATAAATGTATTAACCATATCCCTGTCCACGTACTACATATCTACATTTATTTCTTCAAAATATAAGTTAGAAATATGAGCAGGAATCTCATTGCTCACTAGTTGTAGCTTTCTGTGCTGACTGAGGCCATTCAAATATGTTTTTTTGGTATTGACAGGAAAAGATGACATGTATCCCCACATGCACATTATTCTTCGGTTATGCTTGTAGGAGAGCTGTTGCTTACTCGCAAAAGACTCAAATTTTCTCACATCATATATTTCCCATTCAAGAGCATATTGTTAGAAACGTTTCTCTACTATAACATAATAATTATTTATGTATGTGTCGATCGAATCAACAAATTTCACATTCCAATATAAATAATTAAGTGGTATATATTTCAACAAATGTTCTACCAAACTAGCATTTTGTTTAAATCACGCAGTCCGGGACAAACAATTGGGTATTGTAGGAGATCGGAGGGTTAAGTAACATGGAACACCTGCAATCCAAAGTCCATGTTGTAAGATGAAATTAATTTTCTCTCTTATCCCATTGGGAAACAGTTTAGCCCATATACCCTTGTAACCCTTTGGGATGTTGCTGAAAATTGAATTCAGGAAGTTATCCATAAGTATTTGCAGATTTTGAAGTGCTTGGAGGTTATTTGTGTATTGTGTGATATAAAAGGGGGAAACAGGAATGCGAGGCAATTTGTCTCCTGGAGCGGCATTGCGGCGTTCAAACCTGTAGAGGGAACGAATTATCGAATTGACGAGAAAAAACCAAGACTATTAGGCAGCAATATAAGAGTGATTGCTAAGAAGGGAAACTTGGGAAAGTTAATCAATTTGCTTAATTTGCACATTCAAAATGTGGAAATAATAAAAGACGGAACTAGGTGAGGACTGTCAGAGCCACGGTCAAATAAATAAATAGGTCCAGCAGGGACATCATTCACGTGAGGAGAGGGGACGCCACCCGACGCCCCCCGTCAGGTCGCTCATTGCACGTGAGCTTTGAGATCCATTGTTGTCTAAACTTGAATTGAACTAGGATTCTCTGTAACTGCGCGCCCTAGTTTTACGTCTACATGTGGGTGTGAGGAGGGGGCGGGGCTGATGTGACCGGCTTAGGTGACTCAACTGATGTCACTGCTGTTCCTCTGTTCGGGAGATCCTTGGGTTCGAGTCCCGACGGTAGCAGGATTTTCGACACTAGCTAACATAGTAAGTTGAATTCATCCGCTGTGTAGATGGAATTCTAGCGGCTGACTGCTATGATCGGTAGTTATCCGTGGTTTCTGCCTTGAACACCAGCCAAATGCGGGTGCAGAACCCAAACAAACAGGGCCCGGACCGCGCACGATCTTTCCTTCCTCTTCCTTGTCCTATCGTTACCTGTTACACACACACACACA